CTTCTGGGACGACTTACATGTTAGTTGTCTAAAGTATAATGTTCTGGACGACTTACTTCTAGGTCGTCTGGACGACTTACTTGTTAGTCGTCTGGACGACTTACTTGTTAGTCGTCTGGACGACTTACTTGTTAGTCGTCTGGAAGTTGTCTGAACTTCCTAGAAGTCGTCCGGACTTCATGTAAGTCGTCTGGACTTCTTGTAAGTCGTCTGAAAGTTGTGTGGACTTCATGAAAGTTTTCTGAAGCTGTCTTGTTTCATATCAAGTGGAGTCCAAACTTATCTTTGTAGAGGAATGATCTATTATAGTTTAGTTTGTGGTATGTTTTGTGATTTGCATGTGTACTCTTTTAATTGTGATTTTTTTGTAAAATCAGTAATATTGGTTCCCAAGATGTAATATATGTGATAGCAATGTGTTTTCACATTTACAAATCAATGAAATAATAGACTTCAACATCAAACCCTTCTTCCAACAAATCATCATTGGTGTTAAAGCATATTACATGTTTTACAAGTTTGTGTTGAAAAACTTAGTCAAATTTAGTAATGTATGACTTGTGTTTCGGATAATTTAGTGTAATGCATGACTTGTCTTTTCAAATTTTTATNCATTTACAAATCAATGAAATAATAGACTTCAACATCAAACCCTTCTTCCAACAAATCATCATTGGTGTTAAAGCATATTACATGTTTTACAAGTTTGTGTTGAAAAACTTAGTCAAATTTAGTAATGTATGACTTGTGTTTCGGATAATTTAGTGTAATGCATGACTTGTCTTTTCAAATTTTTATTTAACCCGAGAGATGACTAACCATAAGGTCGTCTGGACGACTGAAATTAAGGTCATCTGGACGAATGAAATGAAGGTCGTCTAAAGAGAAGTACATAATACATAAATAACATCCTCTCTCCTTTGAAACAAGATCAGCATGTGACGAACCTTGACTCAAAAATAACATTCTCGCTCCTTTGAAACAACATCAGCATGTGTCAAACCTTCACTCAAAATAACATCCTCGCTCATTTGAAACGATCAACCACACAATTCCAACAACCATCTTCCAACAACCATTCTCCATACACTGCACGTAACTGATGCGTCATCTGAAATAGTAAAAATAAAACACATTAGCAAACATAGAACAAAGAAAACAAAAGTTTATTAAAGATAGAAGCAG